GACAATTTACAGGCTTTCTGTGGATACCTCATACAGAATCATAGGACTGGAAAGGACCTCGAGAGGTCATAGTCCAGTCCTCTGCACTCATGGCAGGACTAAGTATTATCTAGGCACTCCCTGACAGGTGTTTGTCTATAGATATATGAGATACCAGCTGGTTCCAGACTTCCCTCTAGGGAGAAGAACAGGAGCTGAGCACCAATGCTTGTGACTTCCCAGCCACATTGTGGAGAAAGCAGTGCAGAATGTTCTGGTTTGTTTCCCGTACTGCATCCTGGGTAATAACATGAGAGGCCTCAATATTTCTAAAACTCAACTGGGTCTTTATTAAGAGAACTATTTACAGAGATGCTGCACTGCAGCTAGCATTCAAGTCACATGTACACAGACAGGCTTCTTAGTGCCTCTCCAAAGTCTTCCCTCCTGCCACTTATGCTCTTCCCTCCAAGTTCCATGTAGGTTGCTGCACATTTCAGCCAGAGCTGAGACAAATACATTGTCCCAGGCATTGAAACCAACACTTGTAAACACTAAAAACAGCGAGTAGTCCTTGTGACAATTTAGAGACTAACAAATTTATTTTGGCATAAGCTTTTGTGGGCTAAAACCCACTCCATCAGATGCATGGAGTGAAAAATATAGTAAGCAGAATATGTATCATAGCACATGAAAAGATGGGAGTTGCCTTACCAAGTGGGGGGGTCAGTGCTAACGAGCCATTTCCATTAAGGTGGAAGTGGCCTATTCTCAATAGTTGACAAGAAGGGGTGAATACTAAGGGAGGGAAAATTACTTTTGTAGTGCTAACGAGGCCAATGCAATCAGGGTGGCCCATTTCCAACAGTTGACAAGAAAGTGTGAGTATCAGCAGAGGGAAAATTACTTTTTGTAGTGACCAGTCCACTCCCATTCTTTATTCAGGCCTAATTTGATGGTGTCCAGTTTGCAAATTAATTTCAGTTCTGCAGTTTCTTGTTGGAGTCTGTTTTTTAAGTTTTTTTGTTGAACAATTGCCACTTTTAAGTCTGTTATTGAGTATCCAGGGAGATTGAAGTGTTCGCCTATTGGTTTTTGAATGTTACAATTCTTGATGTCTGATTTGTGTCCATTTATTCTTTTGCATAGAGACTGTCCAGTTTGGCCAATGTAAATGGCAGAGGGGCATTGCTGGCACATGATGGCATATACCCCTGGGATGGTGGTTGTGTGTTGATCCACTGGCAAGCTTTGGTGTAGCAAAAGTAGTACTATGGTGCTCTCTGGTGGCTTAAACGAAAAAGAGAAAATCAGGTCCCAAACGTGATCAACAGAAAACAAAAGAGAAAGTTTGAGAGAGTGATTTTAATCAATGCAAATGCTGGAGGAAAGGCAAAGTCCCTCCTTCATATCTCTTATATGATATGGCATCAAAAGGCATTTATAGAGTAAAGGCTGCCTAGTCAGAAAATCCACTGCTTTCCTGCTCAATATAAGCATGGATAGGAGGTCTTTCTTCCTTCTCTCCTAATAGCTATGTGTGTCAGCTTAACTGGGTCTACACTGGCAAAAAGACTGCCTATGAAGAGGAAGAAGAAAAAAGTTGTTTTATCGTTGAGAGCCCTTTTCAACAAAGAATGTAGGGAACATGAATTAATCTTTTTTTAAATGGAGTTATGGAAGTATAGAGAAGTTAAGTGACTTATCCTAGTCCACACAGTAAATCATTGTCAGAACTACAGCTCATAAGAAATTTTTTAAAAAATTGTCAAAATTGTCACTAAAATGTATCCCGTTTTTAATTAAAAAAAAAACCCTTTCTGATGGAAATTTTCAAACATCAGTAGTTACAACCAGGTCCGCTGACTGCTAGGTGTATAACTAAGACCACACGCTCCCCAGGCTACCTCACTTAACCTATCTGGATTAGTTTATGAAATCCATACAGGACATTTACAACACTGACCCTATTGTTGAGACCATGCATCTAAGGGAGAGAGAACAGTTGATTATCCACACATCTACCACATCCCTTAGCTTGTGCAACTGATGATAAGATGCATGTGATTTCTGTGTGCCATCCTGCTGGATACCTCTGTATCACTAACACCCCTGGTCCTGACATTGTCCAAGTTTCCTTCTCAAAGATGATCCAATATGTGAGCTCACACATATAACATCAATGAACTGATAACTGCTCCTCATGTTTTTTGACAGGTGTGTTATTTTTCCCACGCACCCTCTACATCTCTAGTCCTGCAACGAACTCTGTCTTGGGAGATCTTGTCAGGGGACTTGATAAAACTCACTGAAAGATTGGGCCCTAAGTCATCAAATGAGAATGCCAGTAAATCAAGTGCCAGCTTTGCATTAAGCAAAAAGAGCATGGTAGCCCTGAGTTGTTATCCCCATTTTACGGTTAGGAAAACTGAGATACTGAGCAGGTAATTTGACTTGGCCAGGTGTTAAATGTGATTTCCATGAGCTGGAAGAAGCAGAGCTTGACCTCCTGAGAGTGGAGCCCACCCCCAGAAAAAGCAGGGACTTTCCCAACAACTGCAGGGAACAGCAGTGGGACAGGGACAGTCCTTGCTTTAGACCTCTTCCCTTGCCCAGATCTGTGTAGTCCCTGGATGCCAGTAATGGGAGCAGACTGCTTTTTCAATTAGTACTCTGGACATAATTATCTTTTTTTAGTAAAAAGTTTTTATTAGTTCAAGAACATGTGCAAACACCAATAGGCAAAACAAGCATAACAATACAATTATGTATGTTACATTTTTTTGTTTCTGAATTTTTTAAGAACTAAAATAAAATAGTACAACAAAAAGACATATGAGAGACAAAACAGCACAATCATAAAAATAGTGAATGTAAGCATGGTAATGACAGAGCCAGAGGACGAGGTACCAGAAAGAAAAAGCAGGCCTAAATGTATAACAAGGGTTTAAAAACAACACAAGGCCCATATCCATATCATAATGTTAAAAAGCAGTTATATTTATCAGGATTCTTCATTATTTTTTCAGAGTTCTTCACTTTAAATTCTAAAAAGGGGCACTGAATTGTACTAAAATCACTAGGAGCCATTTTTGTGCTAACAATAATTTTTTCAATAGGAAATATATCCCATATCCTTTTAAACCAAATAATTGTATCTGGAGGTTCCTTCTTTTTTGCCATCACAGAATTAAGGAGCATTTTGCTGCTGCCAGTAGATTAGAAATAAACTTAGATTTTTTCAGCAGCCACTTGCCTTTTACAGAAAGTAGCATTCAGAGGCCCACAAAATGAATTTGAGTACAATGGTTTAAACTTTAAAAGATTAAATGGAGGACAGATGTCAAAAATTGGCTATATTTGGACATCCTGTTGGACATGATTTTTAAATTACCTTTCCCATCACACTCTCTGTAGCATATGTATTTGGGAAAGAACGTCTGGTGATTTGTTTAATAGAACACATATAGAGGAAGTAGCTGCTCTGTTCTAAATTTGGGACCACTGCTTCAAAGAGGTCTCTTCCAATGTTTTTCCCATTTAGACATATAGCCATCTCTATCCTCCATATCACTTTTAAGAGTTCCATTCAGCCTTTATAGTCTTAATATTGGGACATTATGGCTTCCACTACTGAAAAAGTCTTTCAAGCCTTTTTCCATCTTGAGTATTAAGTACACAATGCTTTACTTGTACTCTAGGAAGAAAAAGGATCTGGAGTAAATAAAGATTTATTTATTTAATTATTTTAAAAGTAGCATCTGTGAAAGAAGATTATGCCAGATTTCCTCCCAGAACAAGGGAATCTGGAATTTGTAGTCCAGGGACCACTGGAGTTGTAGGCCAGAGAGCAGGTCTGCTGGGAAAGGAAGTGCTATAAATGCAAGTCACTTTTGTTAGAATGGGGAGAAACTTGTAGAGAATAACTGCTTCTAAGGGCTCTTTGGTAACTGGGGACTGGTCAAGAGTTGTGGTGGGCTCTCTGCTGAGAGGAAATGGCTGAGCTGTGCTGTGCTGAAGAAATGTATGGAAGGGCCAGGGTTGAGGTCTGAGGCAATCAAGGGCAAGAAGTAGCCCTGAGGAAAGACTGAATCAAACAGTTGAGCTTGGAGCAGATGGCTGTTTCATTGGTTAGAGCTTCAGGGCTGGAGCCTGTGGTAGGAGGGCTCCTCTATGTCTTAGAGTGCTATCTTAGGATGGTGTCCTGAGACCCCTGTAGCTAATGGAGAAGGTCACGGTCTCACACATCCTGGAGGAAGGATGAAGCTCTCTGTGGTGCCTTGGACTGAGGGGTGAACCTTAGACTTGTGATTTTTTTCAGGGACTTTTTTGCCTTTTTGGAGGGGAGACTTTTAGTTGGGCTGGTGGACTAACCTACCCTGTTAGAAAAGAGAAACTAAGGCACAGAAGAGGGGGAAACTGAGACAGTGGCTGCACCTGATGTTGGAGAGGTTAAAAAAAAATCTTACACCACTTTTTTATTTAATCTTGTTAGATCATAAACTCTTTGATATTGTCTCCCCTATGTAATCTGCAGGCATTGGCCTGCTAAACCCAGGGTTGTGAGCTCAATCCTTGAGGGACTGAGGGGTTTAAGGATATGGGGCAAAAATCGGTGGGATGATTTAGTTGGGGATTGGTCCTGCTTTGAGCAGGGGATTGGACTAGATGACCTCCTAAGGTCCCTTCCAACCCTTGATATTCTATAAATGGGAGGAGGAGGTGTTGGTGATGGTTGGCGGGGGTGGCAGGAGGGTGTGGCTCGCTGGGGGAAGCAGTGAGCTGTGTTGGGTGACAGCTGCAGGCACCGACTGCTCTTATGGGAGAAACCAAAGGGATGTCTGTGGATGGGGTGATCTAGAAAAAAAATAACCCCCGCTACAGAGTTATTTCCTCTTCCCGCCCCGCCCTGGTTGTTTCCGCCAATCACAAGGTCTTTTACAGTCAGGTCAATGAGTCACCGCCCTGAAACGCAGCCGGAGAGACAATTGGACTGGGCGCTCGAGCAACCAGTCAGACGGCGCCTTACAAACAGCCAATCGGAAGGGCAGTGGCATTGTTGTTGTCCTGTCACAGGGGGTTGCGCCGCGGAGCAGCTCGCCCAGCCCGCTGCTACTGAGTGAGAGTCTTGGGGAGGCCCGCGCCCCTTCCTCTGGGTCGCGCCTTCGCCGCCGCCGCAGCGGGCGGGGCGATGCAGCCTCCAGGCCCCCAGCAGCCGCCCCTCTATGCGCCCAGCAACGGGGACTTCACCTTCGTCTCCTCGGCCGAGGCGGAAGGTGAGAGCGGGGCTGGGCAGGTTCGCGGCTCCCGGCCCGGGAGCGGCCGAGCAGGCGGCCCGGGGGCGCCTCTGCCTTTGGCAGAAGAGGTGGCCCCTGCCCCGCTAAGTTTGTGGGTGTCGGGGGCGTCTCTCCGTCTGGGCGCTTGAGGTGGGTGGGAATAAAGCGTAACAACCTCCCTGCGAAATCCCAGCTACGGCCCCGGCCTGCGGCTCCGTCTGCGTGGCACAGGCACCTGCCTGTGGGGCGGGTCTCCTTCCCCGGCCGCGGTGCTAGCCAGGCCTGCGCCGCGCCGTGACACATCCGTGAGTGTGGCGGCTGGGTCGTCGTCCCCCCCCCCCCGTCCCCCCGCGTGCCTGGGTTTGCTGCTTGGGCGGTGCCTCGGAGAGTCGTCCACAGAGCGCCTTGTGCTGTGGGTAGCTCGGGGACCCAGTCTCCAAGGCTCAGTAACTCGGCGCTGAGCAGGAGGTAGCTGAAAGCGAGTATAGTGCGGGGTGTGCGGCCAGCACACTATGTTATAGTGTGGCGAATAGGCTAACACATTATAGCCACTCACGCAGTAGTATCAAAATGTGCATCGGGAGAATGCTGTCTTAACGTTTCAAGGTATGCACTCGTGTTTAGTAAAGCAGTATTATGCCACCTGTAGTTCGACTAGCAGCTGCAGTCTTCCCCCACACAAGCAATTGTCTACCTTAGGACTATGAATTATCATTGCATGTGTATAAACACAAACTGGTGGCTCTGAGAACATGTGTATTCAGACATAATTCAGGACTTACATACAGCCCATCCTGAAAGTAGAACCAGCATGGAAATCTATTAGAAAACTGAAGATTAAAGGGAGTGTGCTTATTCATTTATTCATGAGCATAAACTCTGGTGAGTCAAGTGTAAAAGTAGAATTAGGGAGGCCAAAAAAGAATTTGAAGAGCAACTAGAAAAAGACTAAAAAACTAGCGGCAAAAAATTATTTTAAATACATCAGAAACAGAAAGCCTGCCAAACAATCAGTAGCACCACTAATTGAGTGAGGTGCTAAAGGAGCACTCAAGGAAGACAAGGCCATGGTGGAGAATACTCCAGAGGGAATTCTATGCCACTGCACAAGTGCAGAATAAATGTCCTCTGCAGATTTTCCTCCCAACCCCCAAAGAATAATTGATTCTGATGGGGAGGCGAAGGGAAGCCATGAGAGGAGTGTAATACACCCCTTCCAGGCAGCGGTCACAAGCGGGCACATCTGTTCATGCATCAGGAGCAGACAGGGGAGATGTAAATCGCTGCCAGGGGACTGCCCGTGTGTGTATGCAAGACTCTGTCCCTCTTGCTTGCTATTGCGGTGTGCCCAGCACAGAGGGGCAGGACACTGGGATGTTTCTGGGGCAGGCATGGGGGGGGTCAAGCTCTTGCGCTGTGTCAGGGTTGGGTGCAGCCTTGCCACCAAGTCCATGGCCAGGGAAGGTGAGGGGGACTGCAGGATGATTCCTTCACCTTTGTGCAACCAATGGCCTGTGCATCCCACTGCTGTGCTGGAGCCTATGCTCCCAATGCCTTTCTAATCTAGGGCACCTGGGAATCAGCCAGGGGACATTAATTGGCGTTGCTTTATTTCTTGGTTTCTATTATTAGATCTCACTGTCTTGATTCCTTCCTCCTGTGTGCAATTCTTGCATGTCTCCAGAGTGAATACTTGCTGATTGCATGACTCCCTTTCTCCTCCAGGAAAGCTTCCCTGCTCCCTTCTGATTTTGAGATGGACACCAAGATGAGCCTACTTACATTCTTGCCCTACCTTGTGCTAAGGATCAAATACACCTTCCTCTAATGTGGTGATCCACTGACCATTCATTTAGGAAAACATATCTGCTTTAATATAAACATACTCAGTATTTTTCTTTTTTTCTTTTAAGAATTTGTTTAAATTAGCCAGTCTGAGCAGAAATGTAATTCTAAAATGCACTGTTTTGCACCATTTAAAAATCAGGAGCCATGGGGAGTATTTTTCTTAAGTTTTTTTATTTATATATAAATTTAATATTTTTTAAAAAAAACTGATTTTTTAAAGGTCTCATTATTTAGCTTGCTGAGTATAAAAGCTCCAGTGTATGCCTCTTATTTTGACATTCATGGCCTGTTTTGAATGTGCAACCTGTTCCTAATGCATCCTTTTACATATAAATCTTCTCTGAACTATATTGCCAGTGTTTCTGACTTCTCTATGCAGAAATGTGTAGCTTATGCTAACATAAAATGTTTCTGAACTATTTCAACAATGTCTTGTTCAGTGAGTGCCAAGGAGCCACTATTTGTTCCTGGAAGCTATATTGCTTTAATCCATATATACAGTACACTTATATTGCAAACTCTGGTTGAGAGACTAACAGTAGCTCTGCCTATATGTGTTTAGGAAATGCTGAATAGTTAGTGTGAGGTTATTTTCTGTATTGTAGTTCAATTATTACTTACTCCTTACTATGCGTAATAATACAGAACTTTATCTGCCAAACATTTCCTGAATCTTTTTTGTTGTCAGTAGTGTCACAGACATATCTGCTGATAGGTATGTTGAAATAAATTACCAAAATAATTTAAACTGGCATGATTATATTGTTGTTTTGACAAATGAAATATGCAGAATTTTAAAATTGTGCGCAGAATTTTTAATTTTTGGCGCAGAATTCCCCCAGGAGTGGGAGAATTCCCCCAGAAGTGGGAAAGACTAAATGAAGTCTTTGCATCTGTCTTAGTTGCAGAGGATGTGAAGGAGATTCTCACACTGGAGTCATTCCCTCAAATCTGTCACCTGAAAAGACTGTCCCAGATTGAGGTATCAATAGAGGAGTTTGGAACAAATTGATAAATTTAATAGTAAGAATCCAGTGGATCAGATGGTATTCACCCAAGAGTTCTGAAGGAACTCTTATATGAAATTGCAGAACTACTAACTGTGGTATGTAACCAGCACTTAAATCAGCTTCTGTACCAGATGACTGAAGGATAACTAATGTGATGCCAGTTTTTAAAAAAAGACATCAGAGGCAATTCTGGCAATTACAGGCCTGTAACCCTAACCGCCAGACCAGGCAAATCGGTTGAAACTATAGTAAAGAACAGATTTATCAAACATGTAGATGAACACAACTTGTTGGGGAAGAGTTGACACAGCTTTTGTAAAGGGAAAGCATGCCTCACCAATCTGTTAGCGCTCTTTGAGGGAGTCAACAAAGGTGACTGTGCACAAGAGTGTACTTGGACTTCAAAAAAACTCTTTGACAGGGTTCCTCACTAAAGGCTCTTAAGCAAAGTAAGCAGTCATGGGATAAGAATGAAGATCCTCTCGTGGATCAGTAACTGGTTAAAAGACAGGGAACAAAGGATAGGAATAAATGATCATTTTTCAGAATGGACAGAAGTAAATAGCGGTGTCCAAGGATCTGTACTGGGACCATTGCTGTTCTACATATTCAGAAATGATTTGGAAAAGCGAGGTAAAACAGTGAAGTGGCAGAGTTTGAAGATGATACAAAATTACTCAAGATAGTTAAGTCCAAAGCAGACTATGAAGAGTTACAAAGGGATCTCATAAATGGCAGATGAAATTCAAAGTAATGCACATTGGCAAACATCATCCCAACTGTATACAAAATGATGGGGTCTAAAATTAGCTGTTACTACTCAAGAAAGAGATCTTGGAGTCTTTTGTGCATGGTTCTCTGAAAATACCTGCTCAATGTGCAGTGGCAGTCAAAAAAAAAAAAAAGTTAACAATGTTGGGAACCATTAGGAAAGGGATAGATAATAAGACAGTAAATATACTTCTGCTGTATAAATCCATGGTACACCCACATCTTGAATACTGCGTGCAGTTCTACTCACCCCAACTCAAAAAAGATCTATTTGAAATGGAAATAGTTCAGAGAAGGGCAATAAAAATGATTTAAGGATATGGAACAGTTTCCATCTGAGGAGAGACTAAAAAGACTAGGACTGTTTAGCTTAAAAAAAGAGATGATGTGGGGGGCTTAGGACAGAGGTCCATAAAATCATGAATGGTGTGGAGAAAGTGAATGAGGGAGTGCTGTTAACCCCTTCACATGACACACGAACCAGGGGTCGCCCAGTGAAATAAATAGGCAGCAGTTTTTTTTTTGTTTTTTTTTTAAAGGAAGTACTACTTCACACAATGCACAATCAACCTGTGGAACTTGTTGCTGGGAGATGTTGTGAAAGCCAAAAGTATACTGGGTTCAGAAAAGAATTAGGTGAGTTCATGGAAGATAAATCCATCAATGGCTATTAACCAATATGATCAGGGACAAAGCCTCATGCTCTGGGTGTCCCTAAGAATTTGATTTCCAGATGCTGGGACTAGACAATGGAGGATGGATCACTTGATGATTTCCCTGTTCTGTTTGTTCCCTTTAAACCATTTGGCATTGATCACCCTTGGAAGACACAATACTGGGCTGCGTGGACCATTGGTCTGACCCAATATGGCCATTCTTAATCTCTAACTAAAAGAACCTGTAGGATTACAAAAAGCTGCGTGTGTGTTTTCTTTTTTGTGTGTCAGTATTAGTATAACTAAGAAGCAAAAGTTTAAACAGGATTACACAACATGAGAGGTTTCAAAACCTGCATCATGTCCACACCACAACTTCCGTTGATGGAGCCAACCTTGTATAGATAAGTTGGTTACAAATTTTCCCCAATGTAGATGTATTGTCACTGGCAAAAATTGCTGTCTGGTGTAAAGATTATGCTTTTTTCCCACTCCTTTATTTGTCTATCTTCCTTGTCTCTGACTTCTTATGTATTTTGGAGGACGCCTCTTCTGATTGGGCAAAGGATACAAGAACTACATTGTTCTCCCATCCATTGTATTGCTGCTTCAAGACATGGGGAGAGAAGATTCTGCCTTGAAAGCCAGCTTTCAAGTTGACTGCAAAAGAGCTCAGTACCACTTGCACAGGATGCTTTGCCTCAGTGACATCAGGAACCTTTTAACCAGCACCACAAACACGAGTTTTTGAAAGGTTCCATAGCATCATACCATTGTTGGAGGCAGACTGGTGACTTTTGATTCCCTGTGGCCCCATGTCCTTTCTAACACTCTGAACGTGGTTCAGTGGGACTACACGGTCAGGCGTGTAGGATTCATGATGAACTATTCAAAGTCACAGCTTGTCAGTAACAGACAACTGATATAAAGTAGTCCTACTAAATATGATTTGACTGTAAGTCTTTCAGCCCTAAGACAGGAGCCAATATCTTACCAGTCTGGTAGAAATGTTAAGCAGGTGACTGCTTGTTATGCTATACAAATGTTGGGTTTGATGGCAATAACTGTATTCATAATACCAAGTATACCTCTCCATGAGAATAACTTTGTAGATAATGATATCCTACTGGAACCCAACATCTATATGCAATACAAGAGCGCTGGTAGTAACGGATTCAGAGATTCAAAGGTCAGAAGGGACCAGTGTGATCATCTAGTCTGACTTCTGGTGTACTACAGGCTATAGAACTTCCCCAAAATAAGTCCTAGTGCATAACTGTTAGAAAAACATACAAACTCAATTTAAAAATTGCCAATGATGGGTGAGGACAATCTCTGAGGTGCTCTCCAGGTGCCAGTCCAGAGACAACTTTCAGTTATAAAGTTCCAAATGCCTCTCCCGTTCCTTTTCTCCTTCAGAAATGATACTGAATAGGAGGCCTTGCTTGCACTTGCACCCCTCTACTGCTCAAGCTGATGCTGTCAAGAGCTAGGGGAGTTCTGTCAGACTAGTTCTAAATTGCTGAAAACTGAGAATAAAAGTCCTGCACAGGTGAGTGTGATGTCTTGCTCAGGTTACCCAGAACTATGACCCACAGTGTTACTGCTCCACCTCAGTAAAAGAGAGCTTAGCAGTAGCAAAACTGTCAATTTTCTGTGAGCATACCAGCTTGTCTGCCTTGCCAGCAACCTTCAAGACTCTGCCAGTCCACGTGTTGTCTTGCAGGTGACAGTCAGTGAACCCCAGTTCCCAGGTTCCCTAGAGATGTCTTTCTGCTGCATCTAAACTCTCTGACTGGACCCTCGGAGAAGTTATTAAGTTTGCTGCCTCCAAAGAGACAACACACACTAGCCTGTTAATACACAACATTGAGATGGTTTTGTAATAAAACAAGAATAAGTTTATTAACAAAGAATATAGGGTTATGTGTTTTCACGTGAGTGAAAGAGATAGGAAAGGTTAGAAATGAAACAAAACACACTTCCTAGTGACTAAAATTAACCTATGCAAGTTATTTCTGTCTAAATAGGTTTCTCATCTATAGTCAGTTCCCAAAGACTTCAGCTTCTTTGGTTGAAGGATCCACCTTTCTCAGATTGCAGGAGCTCTGGGCCCTTTTGCCCGCCTAGTGATGGATGCCAAAATGGCATTCTGTTTCTGCTTGTATTTTCCGAAGTCTGTTGTGTGTGATGCCAGAGCCAGGAAGGCTTTGTGGTGGAGCAGGCTTCATTCCCTATTGTGATAGTTAAGTGGTCTCCCTTCCTCCCCCACTTGTTTTGCTTGAAGACTGTGTGTACTGTATAAGTAGGTGTACTTTTCTTTGTCTTCTGAGATATTACCTGGCTCAGTTTACATTAGAAACATAGGAAGACAAGTGAAACAACATTCCTTTGCCTAGGATAGGCTGTGCTTATGGTCGAAAACACCTTCTAAGAACATATTTCCAAGCACACACACTCACATCACATCACCAGCATGTCGTCAGTTTGCATATGGTACCTAACATGGCACCTTTTAGATACAGATTATAATAACAGTGGGTTGAGGTAATAAGTGTGTCAGGTGTGATTGAGTTGTGGTATGGTATCTCCTCTGTTAGCTAGCATTGGGGGGGTTTCCTGGCTCACAGTGACATTGCCAGAAACAAAATTACAATCAGTAATTTCCTTTTGTAATTTAAAAATGGCTGAACAGCAGACACAGGGAAAACTGAAGTTCCAAGAGTGAATCATTTAGCTAACTGAGTTTAAGGCAGAATTCTAAATTGGTCTTAACATTGGGTGTTAAGTGAAAACTTTATGCATACAAACAGAATAGACTAAGTTGTTATACCATCATTATAGGTTGCATCCTGACTTTTTAAAAACTTAGTTGTATTTGCATAGTTTCTTACTCTATCATTCACATAAAAATATAATGACAATAGACATTGTCAATCTTAAAAAATCCCTAGATACTATGTCTGCACCCAGGTTTGCTGTCAATTATATGGTTCATAGACACTTTTCCTATCTTTCCTGCTCCCCAGCCCCTTTCTTTTGCTGTGTGAAAGTCCCGCACGCACAGAGAATGACTTTTCCTCTCGCATTGGCAGGGCAAGATTCTTAAAGACTGGAGGTGCTTCCAAGTTCCATATTGTAAATATTTGCAGAAATGCCACTGTGATCTATCTATACTCTGTGCCAACTATGCTTACTGCTGTAAAGCTCTCAAAAAGAAGAGTTTCTATACAAAAGATGTCACAATCTGACAAAAGGAGGGGAAAGACACCTGGGAATAGAAATACTTTAAATTGTTTTTGTTTTGTTTTTAAACAACTGCAGTGCCCAGGAGTAGAATCTAAACCAAATCAAGAAGTGCCTTTCAGATAGATTTGACTGCTGAGAGATTGGTTTCTTGGTGAACAAGTGTGTATATAGAGAGAATTTCATGGGGAAGGGACGGTATGGACAAGGCAGGAAGGTGGGAGCAGGAAAATGGAGGCAAATGGGGGAGTTTCATTAAAGAAAACCTGTGAAACAAAGGGGTTGAAGCCAACAAAATGAGATCAGAGTTCTTGCTTGCAATGTTCTACACCAGTCTACTCAGCACAAGCTTTCTACAAAAGTTGTGCTTTTTCTAGTAACAAATAGTGATTGAGACTCTGTTCTTGGAAATTGATACTTCTCCACAGTGTATTCTCATTAACTTTTTAACACAAACTGTAGCCTAGAATAGCATCCCCTCTTTTGTGACCTTTCTCTCCCATAATTTCCTACTTCTTCCCTGCCTTTGTTCTGTTTTCAATTACTACTCTGCTACTCTGTCATTCTGGTTTGTGTGTACCTCATTGCAAACTAAGTGAAACATGCCAATACATTTTAGTTTGCCTTTTGTGGCATGTATGCATAAACAGGCGGAAAGCTTCCTTGCTTTGCTCCTTTTTTGTTTCTTTTAGTGTGGTGGCAGGACTAGATCATTCTATGTCAGAGAAGTCTGAGAATCTCTCCTCACGATAGCTCTGAATAAATAAAAGCAGGGCCTATGGAGTTCTGGTAGTTTTCTTTTTTAAAATGTCTGTGTAAAATCCAGGTGACAAATTGAAATGTGTCTATGAAAGGTTTTCCTGCTGTAACCAGTCACGCATACAAGGGGAAAATGGGGTGGAATAGAAAGGTGCTGGAATGCAAATAGGTTGCATTTAGTGCACTTGAAGTACTAAGCAAATTGCTACTATTGTGGTATACGATAACAATGTCATTTAACTAACATCCATAATATAACACAAAGTAAGTCCAAAACTGTCAAACCATAATGTCTACAGTTAGACATTTAAATGAATGGGGTAACTTTAGACACTGAAGTTGGACAGTTTTGGCCCTAAAGCAATAATTGATATATCTTTATCAACATTTTCTGTCTATATAAAATATTTTATCACTTTCAAATTATTCATCTCTTATAGTGTACAATTTTATTCCATAACTTTGAATATTTCTCAGTATTAACCTGTGTAGGGTAGACATACTGGAATACAGAAAAAATAGGAACAGCAGTTCAAACTGGCTTTTGTGAAGGTATAAACCTGTTTTTCTCTCCTTTTTGTTCCAAGATCTTAGTGGCTCTATAGCATCTCCAGATGTTAAGCTAAATCTTGGAGGAGGAGGAGAAGGAGGAGAAGAGTTCATCAAAGAATCTACTGCAACAACATTCTTGAGACAGAGAGGATATGGCTGGCTTCTGGAAGTAGAAGATGATGACCCAGAAGATAACAAGCCACTCCTGTATGTCACAGTTGCTCTTTGATATCTATCTTCATTTTTCTGGTTAATAACTTTTTTTGTTTGTTTTCCTGAACATTGGCGAGCAGTAAGTCTTTTTGCTGTAACTAGGATTCCACAGTGATAAATGGCTTAACTTTAACTCTATCGTTGTATTTGTAACATTGTACATCATTATCTTTATTCAGATTTTTTTTTTTTTGTATTGTGGGGAAGAAGCTAAAACATGTTGCTTGCCTTGCTTTAGGGTAAGGTAGAAAGGATGAGGTAAAACTTGAGTATAATTGGCCTTTGCTCATATAGAGTACCACAAAAAGTTGTTTTCTCACTGCTTCTTTTAAACTTTTGTTCTTTTAATGATTAACAAAAAATCAAATCTTAGGCTTGGTCTACACTACAGAGTTAGGTCGACGTAAGCTGCCTTATGTTGATGTATGTCAGCGTCTACACTGCAGCCTTGCTCTCGCTGATGTAAGTGCCCTACTACACTGACATCATAACTCCACCTCCACAAGAGGCGTAGGGCTTATGTCAGTGTAGTTAGGCGACACCGTCCCTGTAGATTCTGTATTACTTACATCAGCTGTTGGCTACAATTCTTGTCAATTTCATGGCTCCCTGTTGGAGCCATGAAATTGACAAGAAAGGCTGTTAGGTTCCTTGCTGTGAACTCTGCCCCAGGCTTACAGCTTGGGCTGTCATCCCTGGGTGGGTGTGGGGCTCCAGCTAGAACCCAGCTCCCCTACAGGCTCCTGGCTACCTGCTTCCAGCGGGCTACTGCCTGCGGTCCCACTCCGAGCCCAGGTCCGGGTATCGAGAGCCTGGGCTCCCAGCTACCCCTGGTGCTCCCAGATCTGTCAGAGTGCAGCTGCTCTGAACAGAGACAATAGCAATGTGAAATTGCCAAGAATGTCTATTTCACTGCTGGTAGGCTCTGTGCTGTGAAATGGAGCCCACGTGAGACTCACAGCTGGGGCTTTCACCCTGGGGCAGATTGGGGGCTCCAGCTGTAAGCCCCGTGTGGCTATCTGTGCCCCACACTCGGCTGTCAGTGCCCCACGATGCCCCACTTCAGTCGATGGAAGTGATCCTGGCGAGGACATGCTTATCGGCAGGAGGAGGGTAGTGTGGACATCAACAGCCAATTGAATTACTGCAGTGGTTATAGGATGACCTAATTAAATTGACCTAATTTTGTAGTGTAGACAAGCCCTTAGATTGTGTCTTTTCTATCCTCCTCTGTTGTGCTGCCATTAAGCTGAGTTTGTTTAGCACTGTTAAACAATCAACAACACTGACTTACAAAAATATCAAGTGAACAGTAGCAGTTACTATCTGAAATAAAGGTATTGCAAATAGTGGTGGTCATCATCACAGTCTTGAAGTAAGTGGACAAAGATTTGGATTTAATTAGATTATATTTAATTGGATTATAATCCTCTGATATAAACTGACTTCATCAGGGCTTTTAAATGCTAGAGGAAAAAAATTCCTGCACTGTAGTCTTGTATACTAGGATTTTTCACTGAAACTCAGTTTTAAAAGTATTATAAATGAAGCACAGCTCTTTTCCCACATCCTTTCATTTTACGTCGAAGGCACGCAATCTGTTTAAAGCCAAAAATTACCATAATGCTGATTAAACCTACGTTTCCCCCTGTGTAAAGAGGTATGGTTGGGCTTTGTGATCTAATGGATAGTGCACTTTGAAGCAGGTGATCTGGGTTCTATTCCTAATTCTGCCACTAATTTGCTGTGTGGCCTTGGCAAGATGCTTAATCGCTGTCCTGCAGTTTCCTCTCTGCAAAATAAGGATAATACTTGCCATTTTTTGTAAAGCACTTGGAGATCCTCAAACAGAAAGTGCTGGGAGACAACACATATTTCTGGAGATATTAAAACTCAATCTGCATTTCCTAGTACATTGTAACTGAGCATCATGGGACACAAATCAGGCAATAACTTATTCTAATCATAAGTAGATTAGTACTCTGTAGTGATTTTCATCTGTAGAACTCCAAATCCTTTACAAAGGAGGCTAGTATCATTACCCTCATTTTATAGAGGTGGAAGTTGAGGCACAGCAGGAGAGGGATATGCCCAAGATCACCTAGCAAATCAGTGGCAGAGCTGGGAATTGAACCCAGATCTGTGCTTTCTAATATCATGGTCCTGATTCTGTACTTTCAGACCTGTGCTAAGATGGGCAGCTGCAGGAAGTCTCTTGAAGCTCCTTACTTCAGAGCCGCCTAGTTCCAACTGCACAGGGGCAGCCCTAACTTACACTACAGTCCATCAGCAACCTTACACCAATAGAGGATCAGATACAGCAGAGTTCTGCTTTGCCTCACCCCCTCTGTCATATCTGTACTCTGCCCCTGGAATGCCCCCTCCTTTCCCTTATGCCATGGTTGAGGGGAGCAGCAGAACTAAACTCTGCCAGATCTATACCAATGGAGAGTTCTGCAGAGGGCAACTCTTCGCTGGCCATCCCTGTCTGTTTTAAGGCTAATTTGTGGCCTTGAAGTGGGGGTGGGAAGTTGGAGAGTAGCAAGGTCTGCTGATAGAACATCTTTTATTGATTTGATAAGCCCTTAGTTATTGTTGTTTACTCACACGGGAAACCAGCCAGTTGAACTATTGGCATAAACTGGCCTGGGGGAAACTACCTAGTTGAAGCAACTGACACCTTTCCTTTAATTAAAAGACCATCAGCTTCAGCTTGTTGGTATGCTTTTTTAAAATACTTTGAGGATTAATTAATCCTAAGCTTTTGTTCCCTGTTGGGAGCATGTATTATCTTTAGTTGCATTACAAATAAATGTAATGTGTGTATGTGGTTGCATATTTCCATGTATATAATCTTTAAAATAGCATGACAATTAAAAAAAACCTTGACAGATGAATATGGCATACATGTGCCTAGATGTTGGAGGACAGAAGCTTTACTTTAATTCAGACTGTAGGGTATTTTACCCTTCTTTTGTGTTCCCAACCACAGTATTTATTTCAGTATAGTTAATGATGAAATTGCATTAATGTTGAATAAGGTTGTTAGAAATTTAACAAGCGTTTCTTGAAGAAATATTTAAACGGTAAAAATCATTTTTATCTCACTAGGATGTTGAGATTTAATTTTATGCTGCTGGTATATTTGGAAGTATTCCACATCTTGTGTCTCACTGCATCTGAAAGTATGGTGATAATGAACAAACTACAGACTCTCACTGCTTAATTAACCTGCTCTCACAGATGAATTATTCTCTTTACACAAACTGTTCCAGTACCAAAATATGTAGTAAAGCTTTTGTTTTACAATTGTAGGGAGGAACTGGACATTGATCTGAAGGATATTTACTACAAAATTCGATGTGTGTTGATGCCTATGCCATCTCTTGGGTTTAATAGACAGGTAGTGAGAGACAACCCTGATTTTTGGGGCCCTCTGGCAGTTGTCCTCTTCTTCTCAATGGTTTCATTATATGGACAGTTCAAGGTAGGTATAAACCTTTTATCTAAAGAGAACTTTAAACTAAATATTGGGACTTGAATGCTAAACAGTCTATCATATTTATAGAGACGAAGAAAGCCTCTTCTCCCTTTGCCGTTAGTATAGTGAAAAGAATGGAACATCTAGTTCCAAATATATTTATTTCATGGGTTAGTCTTTCTGCATATTAAAAAAACTTGTAATACTATACTAAACGTTCCTTGTAGTACATCTCTAAGGTTCATTAGAATAAAAATGTCAGGTTCTTGTCTCTGAAATGGAAATGAAGGAAGCGTGGGTTTTCTGGAGGCTTGTAATGATATGCAATCTGTCAGATTCTCAGCTGTATACTAACTGGGATGACTAAAAACATAAAACCTACACAATAGGTATATTTCATTATAGTGCTAAAGCAAAAGATGGCACCTTTACAATGCTGGTTCATCTATGTTAAATAAAATGTAAACTGTGACTGAAATTGAGGGCCCCTTAGGGATCAGTGATGAAAGTTAATGTCACTTAAATTTCTGTAGTTGGTGCACAATCATAGAGTAGAATGTCTGCACCATGTTTTTCTGTATGAACACATTCCCTCCTCTGAAATCTTCTCCCATCTTTAATTTAGTTCTCAAATACAATTTACATTGATTGTACTATTAACGTCGTAATATTTCAGTTCCCCCTACCACTGTCCTCTTTTTTGCATTGCACAATGGAAAAGGTAGTTGGCTTTCCTACATGCTTCACAAAAAAGTTTGGGACAGGAAACCATTAGAAGACTCTCTTTTCCCCCCCCCCCCCGCCCGCCACATTACCCAGGCACATACTCTTGCAAACATCTTTAGTAAGGATATCTCTTCTAGAGAGGGGAAAACTTAGCTCTTTGTCCAGACATATTAGTAATAAGTTATGTTAACTAAGAATTCTAATTCAAAAGTGGCGTATTCAGTTGGCAGTTAGATACTTGCTGGTTGAACCTTCTACGTTATAGTCATACTAGTAGACTATTTTTCAGATCATTTAAAACTTATTTACTGGTTTTATTACCAGAAAACCTTTGTGTAAAGATCTTGAATTTATTGTGGTTACAAATAATGCCACAACTTCTGTCTGGTACCTTTTTTGTCCTCTCAGATATCTTTTCATTCTCTTCCTCCCACTCCCATAATTGAATAACTTCTGTCTCCTTAATACCTCTGTCTCTTGTCACTTGACTTCTCATATGATTCCTTGAGAACTCAGGGAATGCAGCTTTTGATTGGCCAGCAAGAATTATAGTATAGAGATGCTTGGCCTTTCATCCACTTTTCCAGTACTGCCCAAGCAGAACATCCCTCGTAGTGCTTCTAATCACTGCCACCTTTAAAAAGTGACAGAACTTAGATATGAATCTAGGTCTTCTCTTGGTAGCACCTAAGTGAGACCCTCTGCAACCTCCACTTACAATAATGAGTAAACACCTTTAGCTCTGTCTTTAAATATAGCAATAAGTAAGGCTGTGTTTTAGTCACGGGTATTTTTAGTAAAAGACATGGACCGGTCACGGGCAGCAAACAAAAATTCACAGCCCATGACCTGTCCATGTCTTGTACTATATACCTGTAACTAAAACTTGGGTACTTGGGGGTGGGGGGGCAGCCCAGGAGCCCCCACGGGTGCTAAGGAGCTGGGGGATTTGGCATGACTGGCAAGCTCCTTACATGGCTCCCCAGAAATGGTGATGTCCCTCGGCTCCTAAGTGGAGGTGCGGCCAGGAGGGCTCCATGTGCTGCCCCCCCCCCCGAATGTCCACTCCATTGACTCCCATTGGCTGCGGTTCCTGACCAATGGGAGCTTTGGGGGCGCTGCCTGTGGGTGGAGGCACTGTGGAGAGCTGCTTGGCCACGCCTCTGCCTAGGAGCTGAGAGAGATACATGTTGCCATTTCTGTGGACCCCCCCTCTCCCCACCCCCCCCGGGAAGTGCTGCCCAGAGCCCTCACCCCCCTTCTGAACTCCCAACTCCTTGCCTTAGCCCAGAGCCCCCTCCCACACCAAAACTCCTGCTGCTGCTGGGGGGGCACAGTGGCCCGAGACTGCCCCAGCTGTGGCCGGTGCGCCTGGCTCAGGGTCTGCCAGAGCTGCTCAGGCGGCCTCCGGGCCAGCCGCACCAGCCATTGAAGACATGGAGGTCACAGAAAGTCATGGAATCAGTGATGTCTGTGATCTCTGTGACAGAGTTGCAGTCTGAGCAATAAGCCATACCGGGATGTGTGGTATTATAGAATGCTATTAGTCAAGGTAATTAATTTTGAGATATGAGCCTGAAAGGGAGTTCCTTCAACCTCCATAAGGTGTGCCCTAAAAGCTGACTAACACTGACTCTTGAATGGCTTATTTCTATGAGTTTAGTTGACTAATTTTATAAGAGACACATTAATGTGATTTGTTCTTTTGGATGGGAGAAAGGTGCAGGGAAAGAAAGAAAGGTATGCAGTGTTTCTTTCCCCAGTGAAACAATGGTTTTATGATGTGTTCTTTTTAAAATTATTACAGAATTTAACTGAAGAGACAAAATCTACAGTGACACCAGCTTCATGCTCTTTTCACCTTCCCTTTTTATTTTTACAGTGCATATGAAACCTTAAATCAGTACCCAGTTTAGGTTTGTAGCCTAAACTTGAGTTTTAAATGCAACCACACTTTGAAGCTCAAAGGCTGTCCTAGGTGTGTGGGTTCCCACTGTAGAAGTGCTGTTTTCAAAGGGAAAGCATTATTTTTCCTTATTCTGCTTAGCAGCTGCCCTCCAGATCAGCTGGGCTGTGATTTAATTTAAGTGTAGGCTAGGGACCTGAATTGTGTGATAATTTAAGCCAGTTTCATATTCATATTAAGAACTGAGGAGAGGAGGAAACCTGAGAGGAAGACTACAGCCTAAACTAGAAGTACTATTGAGGTGCAGAAAGAGTTAGATCTCTGTTCTTTTGATTTTGTAGTTTTAAGGGTGACACACAGTATTCTGCCATCCCTAGATACAATGGTAATCAACCAAGAAAGAAGATACAAGATGAACATTGATTTTTCTTTGTTTTTTGTTACTTTAAGCCAACTGGTCAGTGTTGTCTGGGCATGCTTTTCATTGGGTCTGAAGAGAGAGTGATTTCCTTTTGTGTTTCAAAGTAGAATGAAAACAAACATGATTTAGCCAGACTTCTTTTAATTCGAAAATTTTTACTGACACCTTCCTGTTGTGATAACAAAACCACACTACGGGTAAAATACTGGTTTTACCATATTTTCTTATTAAGCATTCCAAACACACAGCAAACTTGTCATCTGAATTTTATTTCTAAATTCCATTGTAATACTGAATAATACAAGGTTTGCTGCAGTTTACTTTCTTATTAAACCAAAATGAATTCTGAATTATAATGAAAATTGATTGATAAGAATTAATTGTTCTCTCTCTTTTAAGGTGGTTTCTTGGATTATAACTATATGGATATTTGGATCCTTGACAATTTTTTTATTGGCCAGAGTTCTTGGAGGAGAAGTAAGTAGCAATGTGAAAGTGTGACTGATATATAAAATATTCAGAAATGACTTGGTTTTTTGGATGCCCAACTTGCAGCACTTTAAAGTCACCTAGTTACTTTTTCAAAAATCTTGACCTCCCATATTTAGACATGAATTATAGCACAGTGCGGAACACATTGATGTCTGTTGAAATTGAGATTCCAGGTAAATTCTTAGAGTTAGTCAGATCTAGTCAGATAGGTGCTAGCTAGTGAACAGGTTTTAATTAAAAATAAGAACGTATCCAAATCTTTGCCTTAAATTCTAACACATTCATTTGTTCATGTAACTGGATTTAGAAAACAAAACCCTTGGTCAATTTCACATGCAGTTATTTAAACTGCACATTTACTTACAACTTGGCCAGAACCAGAAATATATCAAAAATACTACTAGACGTCTAGAGCATGCTTACTACAATTTTCGCTGCTAACATGAACTTCTAGCATTAATTTAGGCATCCCAGTGGGAGAGTTATTTTTTTGTGGCAGTTAATTGCAGATATTCTGACTTAATGACCACTGTCGAGTTGATTTGTTAATTTGAAATCTGATAGTGTATTTCATACATACCATGCTAATTTCTAAATGCTGCAGTAATTATGTAATACTTATTTGAAATGCGTTACTCTGTCATTACCAGTAAAGAGCCTTGGCATTAAAAAGACTAGAAGTAACCAATTGTATAATTTGCATAAATATATTACCCTGTGAATTTACATTTAATGACAGTAATATTAAAAATTCACTTTGCACATTTTAATAACTTTAATTCTGAGCCACAAGACAGATGCATGTACTCAGCACTACACTTACTAGAATAGCTACTAATTCCATCATGACAAAATATAAGTGTTTTCTCTGTTGACAAAACTTACGAGCTAGATGGAGGAAATTGTTTTATTCTTTACGGATTGATTTATAATTTTTAGGTTGCATATGGGCAAGTTCTTGGTGTGATAGGATATTCTCTACTTCCACTCATTGTAATAGCACCTATCCTCTTGGTGGCTGGATCATTTGAAGTTGTATCTACACTAATAAAAGTGAGTTCAGTAATGTTTGTTTGTCACTATGCTTCAAAATATTATGTTGCCCTGAACAAAATAATAATTTTAGTAACTTGTGATAAAATTTTAAAAGTACTGCTTGAATTCTTGTGACCCTCTTGTCCAGAAACAGAGGTCAGGAAGTCGCTTTGTCTTCCCCATAATTCAATATATGATATGTTTAGTTATTGGAACGTGAATAGTAACATCAGTCATTTCAGAGACCTCCTGGTAGTAGAAGTAGTAATCTCAAAACACTTCTACAAAGAAGGTAAGTATTGTTAGCCATTAAACAGATGGAAAACTGAGGCGGAGTGCCAAAACTGACCAGCCCAAAGTCAACTGCCAGTAGAGCTGGGCAAACTTTTTCAAACAAAACTTTTTTTAGCAACAAAATGCAGATTTGGTAACACTGAAATGTTTCACAAATTTGTGTTGGTTTTGCCAAATTTGTGTCCAAAAAATTTCAGGAAAAGTAGAAATGTTTCATTTTGACACCTCTGAAATGAAACTAGGACTGTCAATCACTGTTAATTCAAGCGGTTAACGTAAAATACATTAACTAGGTTAAAAAAAAGGTACAATGAATCGCAGTTTTTATCACATTGTAAAACAATAATAGAATACCAATTTGAAATGTATTATAAATATTTTGGATGTTTTTCTATCATTTCAAATATATTGATTTCAATTACAACAGAATACAAAGTGTACTGTGCTCACTTTATATTATTATTATTGTTACAAATATTTGCACTGTAAAAAAGATAAACAAATAGTATTTTTCAATTCACCTCATACATGCTGCAATCTCTTTATTGTGAAAGTGCAACTTACAAATGTAGATTTTTATTTTTACATAACTGCACTCAAAAACAAAACAGTGTAAAATTTTAGAGCCCACAAGTTCATTCGGTCAGTCCTACTCCTTGTTCAGCCAGTCGCTCAGATAGCGCTCTCTGCTTCTTATTTACAGTGTCACCTGCAAGTGAGAACAGGTGTTTGCATGGCACCGTTGTAGCCAGTTTTTGTATTTATGTGCCAGATGCGCTAAACATTGTATGCCCCTTTGTGCTTTGACCACCATTCCAGAGAACATGCTTCCTTGGTGAATTTAAATTGATATGCTATTATTGTTTAACAGTGTGATTAAAACTGTGATTAATCGTGACTATTTTTTTCTCACAATCAATTGCGATTTTTAAAAAATCATTTGACAGCCCTAAATGAAACAACATTTTGATTTTTCAATTTAAAATGGCTTTTCAAACTTTTTTTTTAAACGTAAACACTCAAAACTGAAACAAAACATTTTTTTCAACTTTTGAGTTTGCTGAACAGTTCCAAAAAGTTTAGGGTTTTGTTTTTTTTTTTGTTGGTTTGCACCAAACCAATTTTTCTTTTTTGAATTGCCGGTCAACCAAAAAAATCTTTTATTTGCTCAGCTTTACCTACCAGGCCTGTGGCAGTAGAGAACTTTAATGAACTGTACTAGTATGGCAAAAGTTTCCTGAAGATATGTCTACCCTGCAATTAAAAATGTGTGGCTGACCCAGGCCAGTTGACTCAGGCCACTCCACATGGCTCCCGGAAGCAGCAGCACGGCCCTGCTCCGGTGTTCCAGCCAGGGAGCAGGGTCAGAGGCCGCTCCACGTGGCTCCTCGAAGCAGCAACATGGCGTTGCTCCGGCTCCTATGCAGAGGGGCGGCCAGGGGGTCTGCTCTGCACACTGCCCCTGCCTCAAGCACTGCCCCCGCAGCTCCCATTGGCCGCGAACTGCAGCCAATGGGAGCTGCAGGGGCAGCGCCTGCAGACGGGGTAGTGTGCAGTGTCACCTGGCTGCGGCTCCATGTAGGAGCTGGAGTGGGGACATGGCTGCTGCTTCCGGGAGCTGCTTGAGGTAAGCACTGCCTGGAACCTGCACTCCTGAGCCTCTCCCCATGCCCCAGCCCCCTGCCCCAGCCCTGATCCCCCTCCCACTCTCTGAACCCCTTGGTCCCAGCCCAGAGCATCCTCCTATACCCCAAACTCCTCATCCCCAGCCCCACCCCAGAGCCTGCACCCCGTCCCGCACCCCACTCCCCTGCGCCAGCCCAGAGCCCCCTCCCGCACCCTGAACTCCTCACTTCTGCCCCCACCCCAGAGCCCACACCCCCAACAAGAGCTTTTACCCCCTCCTGCACCCCCAACCCCAATTTTGTGAGCATTCATGGCCTGCCATACAATTTCTATTCCCAGATGTGGCCCTCGGGCCAAAATGTTTGCCCACCCCTGCTGTAGGTAATCATGTATATGTTGCTGTTACCTCTGAGATGTTATCTACAGAATTTTTTTTTAAATATTCTTTTTATGTCTATGGCTAAGGGAAGCTGTTGCTTCCTGTTGTTGAAAAAAATTGGTTAGTGTGTTCCAGAGTCCTTGAGGTAGGAGAATGCTCAGTAAAGTGACTAAAGTCACCAGCCAACAGGTCCTTAATGAGGCCAAATTTTTTTAGTTTTTCCGATGATTTGCTTTGGAGGTACAAGACCCAAGAGTAAGAATCTTGCAAGATGACATTCAGAGAAGCAGAATTACAGGTAATAATCATGAAAAAAGCTCAAGTTGAAGAGGACTAAAACAGAATGAAGAGTTATTAGAGTGCTCCCCTGGAATAAAGGTTTATGCTATCCGAATATGTACCCTTACTGTTTGCTGTATTGTAACTATAGACTTTTAAATTCAAAGGAGTGAACTTGCAGATGCTTGTCGCCACATAATGACCTTCATTGTAATGTGCTTTGAGATTTGTTGAGGAAAGCCAATACATAGGATATGTATGTAGATTATTACTATGAATACATGTAGGTAAAATCACTCAGATATCCATGAATGAAAATACTTCAAGATCAACATGGTGCATATCTCTCTGAACACCAAAAAAAAAAAAAAAAAAAAAAACCCACCATACTATGTGTTCTCAATATAACACTCAGGAAAAAATGAAAGGTTTCTTTCCTAGTGACATTCAAGAAAAGTTCTGATTTTTTGTATTGGTCTTTGGACAGATTTTCTTGTACTGTCAGCTAACATTATACCTTTTTTCTTTTTAAGCTGTTTGGAGTCTTTTGGGCTGCATACAGTGCTGCTTCATTACTAGTTGGAGAAGAATTTAAGACTAAGAAGCCCCTTCTGATTTATCCAATCTTTTTATTATACATCTACTTCTTGTCCTTATACACCGGGGTGTGACCTGAAGTGTTGGATGTGGCCAGAAACAATATTTTATTCACATGCAGACTGGTAAAACATAAAATTAAGGAGGCTGGAGAAAATAGGAGTGACTGTTTTGTATCCAGTTGTTGAAAGGTTTTAAGACTTAAACACACATTTGTGTATATTATTTAATTAAGCAGTTATAGCTATGTGGATTTGTATCAGAGTTCTAGGTTTAAGATTCTTTAGATTTTCATGAACTAAATATAAGAACTTTGTGTTTTATAAGATTGTGTAGCAAAAATACAGCTTGATACCTGTGCCATAAGCACCAGGACCAGATTACTATATTACATTGAATGGGAATATGAAAAAATATTGGTAATGGTCTCAAAGTGCAATTTTTATTTTCTGTTAAATACAGCTGGCTTTTTTGGCACAGCAAATTCTGTATATATTTATGAAACAGTCCTGATGGCTCACAGAATAGGCTCTATAATTGAGACATGACGATATTAGTATGTTTTATGTTAGAGCCCCAGATTTCTTTTCTTTTATTTGGCTTTTGAGATTTTATAAATTCTAATTTACTTTGGGAAGAAAAGTGTACATGTGTATTTTGTATCTCTTGCTTGTGTGTAGCATATATACTCCTTGTTTAAGGATGTATATTGGGTCTTCAACACTTGAAGACCCAAGCATTTGAATTAAGAGTTGCATTTATATCTCTGCCAAATGGAGCAAGACGTACACTATGTGACATTAATTCATTAAATGGTTTATTTGCAGAATCAAATTATTTTATATTTAACAAGTTCTGAACTTGAAGTCACACAAAAACAACTTTCAACTGCAGCATTGGAATAAGGTCTGGGAGAACAAAGATAATGTATCAAATTTGTGACCTTGAGCAATGTTTTAAAATGACAAAATAAACAGACTACTTCTCTAACCTTGTATCTGTTTTGTAACACCTTGTTCTGTATTGCTTTTAATGGTATGTAATTGAACGAGTCAGGAGTTTTTTTCTAATATACTGTTCATCTTTTGCAAAATGAAGTATTAAAATTCTTAAAAGCCTTTATTCTGCCTCCATTGAGTAAGGAAGGCAGAATTAGGAACTTAGCAACAAATTTTCACACTAATTTTGACTATCAAATTAGGTAATATTGTGATAACATATTAAATACTTCCTGGGTATACTATATAAATTGTTTATGTAATGGTCCATGTTGATAATGATGATGGAAATTATGGAAAGAAAAAAATGTATTGAAGGTAACTTAGCATGATATTTACTTTATTGAAGTAAAGTTGTTTGCTATCTTTAGTAGGTAACATTTGGAAATAGGTTTTGACTGACTTGCCAAAGATTTCTTTTGCAAACTTTTGTCTCTTAAAAATAATAGTACAACCAGAGATCCTTACTGCAAATAAAAAAAAAAATCTATCGGCCATTACAAGGTGATAAGGAGCTGCCTGTGCTCTGTAGTAGTCAAACTACTGTGATTTTAGCTTCAATTCTACAATATTTGTAATAAAACTATCCATATAACTTGAAACTTTAATGATTAATTGTATGTAATTTATAATAATAATTATTAATTAAAATTTAAAGTTAAATTCTCAGCCTCCAAAAGAAACTTTAGTTTCTATAAATTGCTTCACTGCATGGGTACCTGGTAGTTTTAAATTAAACTACTTAAAGTTGATGCTGGACAAATGTTGTGATAGCAAATCCCAGCTATGCTAAGTCTCACAGTACTGTAAACATAAAAATAACTTTGGTATCATCAACTTTTAAACTAATCAGCGGAAGTTTTGGTTGAATAAGAACTGCAAGATGTTGTTCTAAACAAGTAGTATGGTTTCTAAAAATAGATTACATATCTACAGCTTAGTGAACCTGTCATAAATATAAAGGGAAGGAACGGTTTGTCAAAGTCTGGGGCCCTTAGTACAGGGTCAGACATGAGTGTCGCTTTAAGCTTGTTAAAGGCCTTCTGACACTTTTCGGTCCACTGAACAGCATTTGGCTGTTTCTTTTTGGTTAGGTCTGTCAGTGGGGCAGCGATTTGGCTGTAGTGCGGTACAAATCGTCTGTAATAACCGGCCAAGCCTAAGAAGGATTGAACCTGTTTCTTTGACTTTGGGTCAGGCCACTTTTGGATAGCATCCACTTTGGCCTGTAGGGGGCTGATAGTTCCTTGACCCACCTGGTGTCCAAGGTAAGTCACTCTGTTTAGGCCTATTTGACACTTCTTAGCCTTAACAGTTAGTCCTGCCTCCCTTATGCGCTCAAGGACTTTTTGTAGATGTTCCAGGTGGTCTGCCCAGGAATCCGAAAATATGGCCACATCGTCAAGGTAGGTGACTGCATATTCTCCTAATCCCGCTAGGAGACCATCTACAAGTCTTTGGAAGGTGGCGGGTGCATTTCGCAGCCTGGAAGGGAGTACATTAAATTCATATGGCCCGAGATGTGTGGGGAAGGCTGACCTTTCCTTGGCAGATTCATCTAGCGGTACCTGCCAGTACCCCTTGGTTAAGTCCAAGGTAGAGATGAACTGGGCCCGTCCCAGTTTCTCTAATAGTTCATCTGTGCGTGGCATTGGATAGTTGTCTGGGCGAGTTACAGCATTTAGCTTACGGTAGTCCACGCAAAAACGTATTTCCCCATCTGGTTTGGGAACTAGAACCACTGGAGATGCCCATGCACTTTCAGAGGGGCGGATTACCCCCATCTGTAACATATCCTGGATCTCCCGTTCTATAGCAGTTTTAGCTTGAGGAGACACCCGGTAAGGTTGGACCCTAATTGGGTGAGCATTACTTGTGTCAATGGAGTGGTATGCCCGTTCAGTCAGTCCTGGGGTGGCTGAGAACGTTGGTGCGTAGCTAGTGCACAGCTCCTGGATCTGCTGTCGCTGCATACGCCCAAGGGTCATGGAGAGGTTCACCTCTTCCACACCACCAGCACTTTTCCCTTCGTAGTAGACACCTTCGGGCCACTCAGCGTCGTCTCCTCCCTGGGCTGTAAACTGACAAACCTTTAATTCTCTGGAATAAAAGGGCTTTAGAGAATTAATATGGTACACTTTAGGCTTTCGGTTGGAGGTGGGGAATGCTATGAGATAATTAACAGCTCCCAGGCGCTCCTGGACCGTGAATGGCCCTTCCCAAGATGCTTCCATTTTATGGGCCTGGAGCGCCTTTAAGACCATGACCTGGTCCCCTATTTTGAAGGAACGCTCTCTGGCGTGTTTATCATACCAGGCTTTTTGCTCTTTTTGAGCATCCTGTAAGTTTTCTTTAGCAAGGGCTAAAGAGGTTCAGAGGGTGTTTTGTAGGTTGGTTACAAAGTCCAGAATGTTAGTTCCTGGAGAAGGTGTAAATCCCTCCTATTGCTGCTTCACCAACTGCAATGGCCCCTTAACCTCACGGCCATATACAAGTTCAAATGGGGAAAACCCTAAACTGGGGTGTGGTACAGCTCTGTAGGCAAAGAGCAACTGCTGCAACACTAGGTCCCAATCATTTGAGTGCTCATTTACGTATCATGGCCCCCAAAGTTCCATTAAACTCCTCCACCATGCCATTTGTTTGATGGTGGTAAGGAGTGGCAACCAAGTGATTTACCCCATGAGCTTCCCAAAGGTTTTCCATAGTTCCTGCCAGGAAATTAGTCCCTGCATCTGTGAGGATGTCAGAGGGCCAACCTACCCTGGCAAAAATGTCTGCTAGTGCCTGGCACACACTTTTAGCCCTGGTGTTGCTTAGAGCTACTGCTTCCGGCCATCGGGTGGCAAAATCCATGAAAGTCAGTATGTACTGCTTTCCTTTGGGTGTCTTTTTCGGAAAAGGACCCAGAATATCCACAGCTACTTGCTAAAATGGAACTTCAATGATGGGGAGTGGCTGGAGAGGGGCTTTGACCTGGTCTTGGGGTTTTCCCACTCTTTAGCACACCTCACAAGACCGGACATAGGTAGAAACATCCTTGCCCATTCCCTCCCAGTGGAATGACCCCCCCAAACGGTCTTTGGTCCTGTTCACCCCAGCATGGCCACTAGGGTGATCACGGGCTAAGCTCAAGAGCTTGGCCCGGTATTTAGTTGGAACTATCAACTGTCTCTGAGGATGCCAATCTTCCTGGTGTCCCCCAGAAAGAGTTTCCTTGTATAAAAGTCCTCTTTCTACAACAAACCTGGATCGATTTGAAGAGCTGAGAGGCGGTGGGTTGCTCTGTGCCACCGTCCAGGCTCTCTGGAGGCTTTCATCTGCTTCCTGTTCGGTCTGGAACTGTTCCCTTGATGCTGGAGACATCAGTTCCTCATTGGATTGTGGACCTATGCTTGGTCCCTCTGGAAGCGATGCAGGGGACGGGGCTGTTTCCGTTGACTGTGAACTGCTCTCCGCTGGGACACTATGTTGGGGTTCAGGCTCTGGCTGAGCCTCTTGTGTAGGGCTATCGGCTGCTGCTGGTTCAGGTTCGGTGGGGCCCTCTGGTGTTGAGGTTGCAAGTACTGGATTCAGTGCTGGCAAATGGTCTGGTGCTGGTTGTTCCGCTGGTTCCGGTTCTGGGACTGGTTCCATCTGGGTCTCTGGGACTGGATCCACTACTGCTGTTGCAGACATTGGCCTGGGGTCCGGGTCCATCACCTCTGACCGGGTCCTGATAGAAGTTTCCAGAACAGAGCTAGGCCTCACTGCTTGTTTAGCCTGGTTGCGGGTGACGGTTCCCACCCTCTTGGCCTGCTTCACATGATTGGCCAAGTCTTCCCCCAACAGCATGGGGATGGGATAATCATCATAGACTGCAAAAGTCCACGTTCCTGACCAGCCCTTGTACTGGACAGGCAACTTGGCTGTAGGCAAATCGAAAAAGTTGGACTTGAAGGGTTGAATCATCACTTGGATCTCTGGGTTGATTAAATTGGGGTCCACTAAGGAAACATGGATAGCTGACACTTGTGCTCCGGTGTCCCTCCACGCGGTGACGTTCTTCCCGCCCACACTCACAGTTTCCCTCCGCTCCAAGGGTATCTGGGAGGTATCTGGGCCTGCGGACCTCTGGTGTGATTCCGGTGCAATGAACTGTAATCTGTTGGGGTTCTTGGGGCAGTTGGCCTTTACATGCCCCAGCTCGTTACATTTAAAACATCGTCCAGCTGACGGGTCACTGGGGCAAGGTGGGTTGCTGGAGAACAGGGTGGTGGAATGATAAGGGGTCTGGAGGGTTCTTTGGGAGGTAGGTGGGGCTTTGGGTGGCCCCCGGTAATAGGGTGTAGTCTGGGGTTGTCCCTTCTGGTCTCCACTCCAACTGCGACCAGTTTTCTTCTTCTCTGCCACCTCCACCCATCTGGCTCCAATCTCTCCTGCCTCGATTACGGTTTTGGGTTTCCCATCTAGGATGTATCTTTCTATTTCCTCAGGAACCCCCTCTAAGAATTGTTCCATTTGCATTAGGAAGGGCACATTTACTGGAGACTCACCACTTGCTCCTGATATCCAGGCATCCCAATGTTTCACAACGTGGTAGGCATGTCGGGTAAATGACATGTCTGGTTTCCACCTTAGGGCTCTAAACCTCCGACGAGAATGCTCAGGTGTTATCCCCATTCTGACTCTCGCCTTGGATTTAAACAGTTCATACTTGTTCATGTGTTCTTTAGGCATTTCAGCTGCCACCTCAGCTAAGGGTCCACTGAGCTGTGGCCTCAGTTCTACCATGTATTGGTCGGTAGAGATGCTGTACCCAAGGCAGGCCCTTTCGAAGTTTTCTAAGAAGGCCTCAGTATCATCACCTGCCTTGTAGGTGGGGAACTTTCTGGGATGGGAAGTGGTACTTGGAGAAGGATCGCTAGGGTTTGTTGGGATATTCAGCTGAGCCTTTATCTTCTCCTCCTCTTCCACATGCTTCCTCTCTTTTTCCTTCTCCTCCAGTTCTTT